AGCTCAATTTACAACCAGGCGTTTTTTTCTCACAATCCGCCCCCACAGAATCCGACCTTCAAATATGACTACACCTTGCTGTTACACCCCAAAGAAATGCAAAAGTTAAGTGGCAGTTGAGAAGCACATTCTTCGCAGAACATATAGCCGATGCAGCTAAAAAAGTAAAAAATATACATAATTTCGTTAAGAAAGAAGTTATCCATAATATTAACCTTAGAACTAGGTCCAAACTCGTGGTACTACGATTTCGTTTAACTAAGGTAAACGATTATTTTATGGGGCACAGTATACGTTTTTGCAATAAGGTTCCGGAGCATATATTAAGATTACCATTTCCTAAGTTTAAAACGTATATTAAAAGTATTTTAATTACAAAGTCATATTACAAAATTGTAGACTACGTGTTAGATAAAGATGTATGGAAAGTCACCATGAGTCTAGATTCCACACAAATATGATTCAAAATGTATTCTATAGTGCTTAAGTTTGAAAAGAGCAGTTCCTAAAGTTTCTTGATCGTTCTTCTCAGGTCAGCGTAGTGAACGAGCAGTACCTTAAAAAATGACGTTTTCAAGTGTAAACAATTTTACCTATGGAATACTCGTAAATATTACATGACTAAAAAGTAGCGACCGCGTACTGGACGCAACGTGGTTCCACCCAAAAGGTGGATCGATGATCTGGTGAAAGCTGTGGGAATCCGTTATATGTAATTTGGAGGAGGCCGGAGGAGGAGTTTTTCATATACTTGCAGAGTATATGAAAAATAAAAAATGAACATTTTTTTTGTTGCTTCTTGTGCTATATGGTTTTGTACTTTGTCGAAGTGGTAGTACCGTTCATAATTTTTGGGGTGGGAAGGTAGTGTTTTTCTGTAACACGTACTTTTCAAGAGTCGTAAACTACAGCGACTCGTTTTTACGCCAGGAATGAAAGAATTTATTACATATTGCACCGAGTTAACCTTTGGAGAAGATGTATTACGGGTTGACTCAATTAATTGCTAATTCACAATTGAGAAACCTTCGAAATTACGTTGAAGATTTGGTTTATGATAGATACAAAAGTATACTTATTGTTGCGTAAGTAACAAAATTCGTTGCCCTTAAAACATATTAAAATCTATAAATTACATTTACGGAATAATGTGCGCTTTTTTAAAGTTCTTGGACTGCAATCAAACGTTCCTTATATTCCTTATTGAGTTTTTGTAATGTTGTCGAATGCCTAATTGGCTCTCTTCAACGGTGGAAGTGTTAAGCGGCTGGTCTCCTAAATTTGGCCGAAACATGCAATCAAACATTGCTTCAAGTAATTGATCGGTATTATCTGAGACAACATATTATACCCATTAAAACGTTTTGTAACAACCATGTAACATTAGTAGCAATATTTAAGTAGCCTAAGGGTCAAAAGGGATCGGTGTTCCGTTCACCGGAAGCTCAATAAGTTACCCAAGGCTGAGAACCTTCTATAAGTATCGAGCTCTCGCATTCTTCTGGTTCATTTTTTGGGATTGCCACTATTCTAATATTTTGAAGGCAAATTAAGGTAATTTTGTATCTTAATGTTTCTAGCGTTAAAATTAATAATATTTTTGGGAACTAATCTATTTTGACTCTCAGCAGAGCTGTAGTACCTACTATGGAAGCACTTGGAATTTCGCTACACTAGTACCAATATTACAGGGAATTACCTAGTTTAAGATTAATTGGTTTTGTATAAAAATGGCTTTACCTCTGATAGTGAATATATGGGTAAAATTAAATTAGTAAGACAAAGGAAATAAGTATTACCTATGTAGGTAGAGGCAATAAAATTTATTATAAAGTAAGTATTTTTTAATGTGTGTGGAAGACAATAAATACTTAATAAAATTTTAATAAAGACAATTATAAACAATTACAATTCAAACTTAACAACAATTACAAACAACCATTTAAGTTTTGTGCACTTTTAAGTTTTATTACGTGGAGTCCTCTTTTACTTTCCTTCTACTTCGGCATAATTTTCTCTCATAACAGATGTCGCTGTAAGCAACTCAATTTAAAGCCATTGAGATGGTATCTATATCAATTTATTCAAATTTCACTCTTTTGGTTCTCCTTTCTTCATTGTACGTTCGTTTGTCGTCATTACCACAACATGAGCAACAGCAAACAGAGATAATTTTACAAAGAACTTTTGTTAGAATATATGCTACTAGCGCCACAAAAGCCAAGACGTCTAACTGAAGTTGTTGGTACCACGGCTTTTGTACAGATGTCGCTGCTAAGTTGGGTGCACCGTGGTATCGAGCTACATACTCCGTCCAGTAGATGGCGGTTTCAAGCGCTGACATTGGACGGTCATGCCAAAGGCGGGATACTAGTTTAGCTTGTTGTTGAATTCTGAAATCAAAATATAATATATGCACTTAGTTTGTATATAGGTATATTAATTACTAGAAGTTTACAGGATACCAGTACAATTTTAATCGCACCAAACTCATTCTTATTAAATTATAGTATTTTCAAAACCAACTTTATTATTTAGCTCTACATTACGACGGATATTATTTTGTGATATGTGTATAACACTATATACTTATGAGATTTGTGTAAAATAATTTAAAGGTATACAATGAGGTAATCCATTGTTTCTGCTGTTGTAACACGATTTAAGTATATTGAATTGAAAAAAAAAAATATGATAACAAGTGACAGTCGTGCGCCTGGTGGTAAGCGACGGGCCTATTCATGACAGTTGCAGTGCTACTCACAGCTTTAAATTGCAAAGATTGCTGTTACTGTGCCCCAGATATTAGTTGACAAGTCCCAAGTGCCTGTAATTTCACTGGCATCCTACTGCTTGGCGACATAGATAGTGGTGGCAGCACTTTCCTGGACGAACCTACTTAAGAGTTTTGCGTAATATATGTAAAAGTATAATAATATACTATCAGTTAATTCATTGTTTCTTGTAACCTGATTAAAGTATGTATATTGAATTGAAAGTACCTATATCAAAATGTTAAAGAGAATGATTTCTTAAAATTATACTTAAAAGGTTTCGCTGGTGGAAGAATTAGTAAATACGTACTTATTGAAGTGTAGAATAATGTTTGGCATATTTTATGTAACCAAATTTAGGTCAAATACTCATTATTTACATTACATTTACTCACTTCGGTTCCAAAATCTCGTTAATAGCATCCAAAAGAAACTCCTTCCTCAGATCCCGGTACTCTACAATGGAAGCAACACCAATGTCTCTCAAGGCGGCTGCGTTACCATACTGATCTCCAAAGAGAGGAATAGCAACAACTGGTATACCAGCATCTATTGCTTCTATAGTACTGAGGATTCCGGCATGTGTGATGAAAGCTTTCACGTTTTCGTGCTCTGAAATGAAAGGATGAGAATAAGAATTTGCTGGGGGTAAGAATTTGTTGATAAAAGATCAAAAGTACTCATGCGTAGGTTACAATCTATGGCAAATATTTTGACATAATTGAAGCAAAGGAATACTATTTGCGTTCTCTGAAATGTTTTTACAAGACTTGGTCTACATGCTATTTAATTTATAAATTCCTCGATTATCTAACAAAATAATTTGACTTTTTGGTGGAATGGCCTAATTTGAACATTTTCGATGTCTTTCGAAGAGTTTTAACTAGACTATGGATATATAAATAGCATTTTTTTATATTAAATCAAAACAAGTCGTGGGCCTGTTGGTAAGCGACACACCTGTCCATAACAGTTACAGTGCTACTCAGAGTTTTAAATTGCACAGATCTGAGGGGCACTGCCTCTGCGCCTGTCACCCTGAGACATGTGTTGACAAGTCCCATGTGCCTGTAATTTCACCGGCACTCTTTTCCTTCAAACCGGAACGCAGTAATGCTCACATTACTGTTTGTTAACTGAAATAGATTAGGTGGCAGTACTTCCGTGGACGGACTCGTTCCATAGGAACTCTACTGCTACTTTTATTTACAAGTAATAGCAGTACAGCTCCAAACTTTACTATTTAAAACACTTACTCAAAATATCATATTGTGGGAACCATCTCAGGGTCATAACGTTTCTAGGGAGGTTGCTTATGACTCCACCATCCCATTTCCAAAGTACCCTCATAGGTAGTTTCCTGAACGTAGACAGTAGGTCATTTAATTTTTCCGTTGGTAGTGTTGTATCCTTCACTGTAGAACCAAGATTCATATAAATTACGCCATATTCTGCTTCATTTATAAATCGCTCGATTTCCTGTAAAAATCGAATTATCTATTAGCATTCTACTTGCAATAAATAATAATAATAATAAATAAAATGTCCTTCCAGATTTTTTAAAGTCCCGTGCTAGGGAATGTCGCGGGAGCCATGGAATCGTACATAGACAACCACAAATGACACTCAAACAGACGAGAGAAATAATAATGTAGGCCGTACACATATTTCTTCCGGCCTAGGAATCGAATACAGGACCTCTGCGTGGCAGTCCAGCATGGTAACCGTTCGGCCACGGAGGCAGTTAAATGGTTAAAATATAAGAACAAAATAAAAATCGGGCATTTAAAGACAACCAAAAGTAGACAAACCAGCGGTAAATCTATACATTAGTACAACGTATCTGTAATGCTGTGATTATTTTAATTTTATTTTTTTCAATTTCAATCTCGTTGACATATCTACATTTATTTGTACTATTGTCTCGTATATTTGATAAGACGGTCCTTGACGGAGACCCAATATTTGCGCAGTAAAGAGCACATCAAGTTTAATACTTTGGTCAAGCTTGACGTACTTTAGTGACACCCTGTACTGTTATTTAATGACAGTATGAATTGTTAATTTTATGTTCATTTCGTATTTTTCAATTTATATATTCGTTTTTTGCTTGACAATCTCAATACATTTATTGAGATTTTTCTGAAATAACTCCATTAGTTTTGTTATCATGACGAATATGGTCGCGGGTTCAAGTACCACCGGGTCGACGATAAAATTTTTCTGTGTATCCGATCTTTGTATTCAATTATGAACACACAGAAAAATTTTTTCGTTTATGATTACATTATGATTTACCTAGAGATTAGTTTATGATTACATAACAATGTCAATATAATTTCTTATATTTTCACATGTTGTGAAATGTATACTGTAATATAATAGAGAATGAAAACTACACTTTTGATTGATTGAGAAAAAATACATAGGAAAGTATAAAACATCACTTGGCCAAGGTATTCTATCGTATCTTGAGTAAATTACATTTCTTTGTGTTCTATGATGCTACATTATGTGGTCTGTGGTGGTACAGGTACAATGATTCTATTGACAGAAAGGCATTGACGTGAAATTCGTAGGTTTTCGCGATTGTTTCATATTGGTAATGAAATTGTTTTTTCGGATCTAATTCGCGTTATTTATTTCTTCAGTATCAGTGAAGTAAGTAAAAGGCTGCGTTAAGATTATACACAGGAAACTAAAAGAACAGAATATGTCCATTGAATACGCAGAATTGGTAGAACACTGCCTAACATCCGGCTATCTTTTGTGGAATGACGAATTCTATCTACAAAGCGATGGGCTCATTGGTATTGCCCGTTCATATTCACATGGAAGACTTCGAGGAGCGAGTTTTACCTACAGCCCCAGCTAGACCCAGTTGCTTAAACGGTACGTAGATAATACTTTGACAATAATACCAAAAGATAGCACACAATCACTTTTGGACCATCTCAGCTCTATTAGTAATAAAATCCAGCTTACTATAGAACTAGGTAGTTAGATATTTTAGCGTGTTTTAAATATCTTAAAGAAATGCTGATAATACTTTAGGCCACACAGTATTTAGAAAGAAAACCCATACGGATCTGTAGGTACCTCAATGGTAACTCCCGCCAACGTCCTAGGCAGTTAGCCAGCATGGTAAAATCTTTGTTTTACAGAGCAAATGACATTGGCGACAGTCATAATCTTGTCGGGGAACTTCATCATGTAAGCAAGTCCTACGTGCAAATGATTTGAAGATTCCACGCCAATATCACAAGTACCATGTGAAACCACCAATAGTAGAGCCAAGACCTGCCATTTTACGTTATGTGGGAGTTGCAACAGATAAGATCGGAAGAGAACTCAGACGTGAAATGTAACATCACCGTAGAGGATGCAAGAGTTTATAAGCTTGATTGCGAGTGCGACCTGTCTTACATTGGACAGACGAAGCGAAGCATTTCTACCCATGTCAAAGAAATATGGCTGATGTCAAGCACCGTCGCCGTCGCGTAAAAAAAGTCTGCGGACCAGAAGCGGATCAGAAAAAATAGTTTCATTTCCAACTACTAAAACCTACTTATTATAAACATACTTTCAAAATGTAATTTCAATAAAATTGTCTTTTGCAGTCAAAAATGTTTTCAAGAGGTCTTATTTTTTCATGTTATTATCCGAGTATTTTTTCATGTTAATACATGAGACAGTAAGGCACAGTTTACTTTGTATTTGGTATAAGTAAGAAAATTAAAATAAGCAACACTTACAGTGGGAATCAGTTTAGGAGGCCTCACGTGTATGCCTCCAATATCAATAACGTTGTCAGGCCTGGCCACGCCCCCAAACACAGACTGGTGTGTGTTTACAAACATCAAACTAGCATTCGACGCTATGTTTTCTAACGAAGGCAATTGGTCACCTAGATACTTGTACAAATACACATGGTCTGTCACTTGGGAACCAATGTAATACACCCAATTCGAAATATAATACAGCACGTAGCTCTTCAAACGGTCAAAGAACCAAGGCTCTTTCCCGTAAGGTAATGCAGCTTGGGGAACATTCGCTGCGTTGAAATTGATTCCCAATCGATTATACTGCCATGATTGTATCGGCTGGGGATTAAACGCGATGTACGGTGCACTCAAATTCGCAGCCAATGCCAATCCACAGTCACTATTATACGATTCCACCAATATCACATCGTATTTAGGTTGAATTTTTATCATGTTTAGTACATGGTGATTATTCATTAGAGTCTTGCAGTCGTCGTTTCCGGACTTAGTTGACACTAAAGCTTCGAAAGGTAATCGCGACACTTCGTTGACTATCACCGACTCGAAGGATAGTCCTTTGAACACATGTTTTGTTGTATCACTTAGAAGTATTTCTTTGTAACCCGCTGGAGGGTTAGGCAGCTGAAAATGGCTAACGAGAGTCACTTCATGATCACGATTGGCCAATTCGTTGAACAGTCCGCGGTATGTGAGGTAGTTGTTGCGGTCTAATGACGGGAAAATGCCGAGAATTTTGTAACTGTCAGTGGCAAATATGGTGGCGACGAAATAGAAGACGAAAATCAGGTTTTTAACCATGGTTTCGGCGGACGCGTTCGTGTTGTTGCAGAGTTAAGTGGTAACTAGGGCGTAAATGGATTCCGGCTTGCGTAGTTATCTAATAATAGGTATACGCTATGAGGTAATCGTAGTGTGACGCCACGTTTCGTACGAATCAGAAATATTCGATGACTCCGCGGAGTGTCATTGATCGTGACCTCGATTTGAATTCAAAGCGAGTTTTGGTGTCGCTAGCGATATTAATGTTGTTTCGATAGCAAAATGCACGATAAACTAAACTAGTTATTCAATACATGTTGCATTTATATTCTACTTTGCAGTGTTTATAATAAAATAATGTATGAAATGATAAAATTGTGCTCGAAATATACGACAATGTACGGTGATCGCTAGAATACTAATTTATATTTACCCTCGTACGTAAATGATTAGAACTCAGTGATAACATATCACACCCTTAGTAATATAAGGGCACAATCCAAGAAAAGTAGATTTTTGGGAAATCGCGTATTAAGATTCTGGATTCCTACATTACACCTATTTTTTCAAATAACATGCTTATTATTTAAGTTATAAATATGAAATTTGGCAGATTTGTTCTTTGATAAATGTATTATAAATAGCAATAAAAAAAAAATAATATAAATAAATTCCATAAGTTTCAAGCAAGTTAAAAAACACTTTCAAGTTAGACCCATATAGTACAAAAAATATAACAGAAATATGGAGTTATTTAAGTTTGATCCCATTTATTATTTAAGTCCCTATCAATTCCCAAATTTCCCAAAAATCTACTTTTTTTGGATTGTGCCCTTATATTACTAAGGGTGCGATATGTAAATATTTACGTAAACAGTATAAATCAATCAATATGAATAAAACTCCTAACAACAATGTGATAATAACCGGAGATATATTTAGATATAGTTAGTTCTTCAATATGTACGTATGTGCGCAGGTTATCACGTCTAACTCAAAAGATACACAAATTACTTTGTACTTCATACACAAACTCGCACTTAAATTTCTAAAATCATATAATGTAATGTAAGGTAATGTAACTTAAGTAACTTTAGTAACACTTGTGTATAGTTTGATTTAGTAGCGACATTAAGGTTGTTTTGTTGCATGTTTGCATAATCACGTAACGAATTAGAAATAATCTCAGTACAGAGTACTAAAAAAACCGACCTCAAAAGTACGTGGAATTACATCTATTTGCTAAGTTTCATTGACTAGTTCGCCACTATACAGGACTTGATACTGGAGATAATAAAAATAGGTTCTCACTACGACACTACTCAAAGTATTCGAGAGAAAAACGCCTTGAATTGGAAAAATAGCAAAATCAACTAAATAATTGCTAAAAGTAATTGCTCCTAAATTAAAGTCAGGCGCTATTTATTATTTATAAAAATGAATCTTCATGCGTGAACAGCCACCCTTTGAGGTGGTTGATTTTCTTCAAAATAAAAGGGGATTATCTATGGAATTACCCCATTTCCAACAAAAAAAGAATCATGAAAATCGGTTCACAAATACCGGAGCTATCGCGTAACATATATACAAAAAAAAAACAAAAAAAGAACATACAATCGAATTGAGAACCTCCTCCTTTTTTGAAGTCGGTTAAAAAAGATAGTTTATGTATAGATATAATGAAATAATTATATCACGGAACATTAATTAGATAATGTAATTTGCTTACCGAATATTAATTGCATTTCGTTGGTAACGACATCGTAAGTAGATATGAGAAGAAATTTGCCCCTCACGCCTTAAAAGTTAGTAAATAAAACACTAGGTATTTATTTAGAGAATAATAAAAATTGTAAATATACGAAAAAAAAAGAAACAAAAAGACGCAGATATTAATAAATAAATATTGTAAAGTCAATCTTATTTTTTATTATTTCATTGAAATAAATGTATATATTATTAATTCTAATTTTAGTCTCATGTGTTCGGTTATTTCTTATTTGGTTTAACCAACGAAATAATTCTGATGATGCTAAGACTGGTTTAGATGTAACATACTTTGACTTTGAAACTTTGGACTTTGAAATCAAAATGAAGGCCAAATATGATCTGTCGAACTAGTGGGCGACGACGTCGAACTTATCAATCTCCTCTTTACGTAATTCTAAATAAATAAAAAAAATTGCCCATTGTTTTTACTCATACCTCAAAATCATCGACATATTCCTAAACAAGTATAGTTGGAAGACAAAATAATAATGCACCACAACTTTTTTAAGTTTTATGTGCTATAATAATTATTTATTGTTCCAAAAAGCCTTACTATAAGTACAGTACACTTAAGTGTGTTATTTAAGGACTAAGTATAACAAACACGTTGCTTCGGAAAAGTCTGTTGCATAAAGAGTACAGCCGCTGACTAGAGTTTTCGGAGCTTTAAACCAGCAGCGCATTACTTAAGTGCAAATTGCTATATGTACATCTTGAGGATGCCAGCAGTACTTAGGTATTAATAATATAATGTAATATAATACAATATACTATAACACGACCCGACCCGACCCGATCCGCCTCGACCCGACCCGACCCGACCCGACTCGACACGACACGACACGACACGACACGATATATATTTAAAATTTAGTCAATAGATGCACTATGTTACAATTAATTATTCTTATAATTAATTAACAAAAATGCAAATTACATTGAAACTTGATATTTATAAGTCCTATTCTGAGAAATACACCACCATCCATATTGATGGATATTGATAATAATTATGAAGTTTAAAGTCTTAGGGTCGTATTCTAGAACTCTACTCAATGCTCAAGTCAGGATTGCAATTGAAACACAAGCACTGGAAATACGACCCTAATGGCAGGGACTTGAGTATGATTTCGAGTACTTTAAGCCATACTCAACTCCTAACTTGAGCATTGCATTGAGTTCTAGAATACGACCCTAAGTGTAGAGGAATTTCTTTCAAAGAAATTGTAATTTTATTTTTATTTGACGTCGTAGTATTTGTACAATATTTTATTATGTTTCATATTCCTTATTATTGTTTAAATTAGTAACGATCATACTATCCCTTTACATCTTGTATTTTAAAATGTAATATCGTGACATTAATAATTTGAAATAAATTATTATATTCTATTCTATTGAGAGTATAAGTAATATTTGAATTGTGAAGCAACCGTTTAGTTCTCATTGCTTTGTGAACAATAATATATTATTTATGCTGTTTGATGTTAGTAAATAAAACAACAATGGTTGTATTTTGCTACCTTAAAATTGCTTAAAAACTAATTAACAATCTTACCTCATTTTAAAGGTCATACACGACATAAACAATGTATATCTGTCGCAAGTTAGCAGAGATACCAGATCACTAGATATAATCAGCGTAAAACGTCAATACCTACGGCAGTAGCTGCGTGTATTTGCTCCCAAAAGTTTTGGTAACTTCAACATGTACAAAGTGGTATTACGAAAACGCTTATTCGCCTTGCTAATGCAACAACGAGTCGATTTCAACATAAAGAACACGTACTGAAAAGACGGGATGCAATAGCGTTTGTAGAAAACCGGGACCGGAAGAGAAAAAATAATTATACTTTAGGTAGGTATACTGTTAACGTTACAAGCTAAATTGTGTAATGTGTTAATAATCGTGTTGACATTGTTATGGAAATAAAATGGGTTTCAAACGCAAGTTTCAATTTTATTGGAGCATTTCAGAGTTTTATACGAAATAAAACTATTTTTCAGAAGTAAATTTGAAAATTGTTTCTTTAAAAAATCTATGTTTCGGGCCTTTTCCAGGTCCGATGGTCACGGTTAACTGATTGGAGAACATAAGTATACGCGGTTTACATCTGAAAAATAGATTTATATTCTCAGTTTTCTATACACAGTTATCTAAAAATCGCTCATATTATTTAGAAATCTCTATGGCTTTACATTAATAAAATGTAATTTTAGATGTATTTAAGTAAGTTAGTATTTATTGTTATGTAGATATTATTATTCATCAGTATTCAATCTACACGTATGTATTTATTTGTACTTAATATGACGTTTTGCTTCTCCTAAATTTCTATTCCAGTGTTGCCAGGAAGAATTGATACACAGCAATAAAGTATATCTAAGTTATCGTTGTGTGTCGCCATTTTAATTTCATGTGCACTAAAGATTTTTTTTAGATCTACGTACGTATATAATGTATATAGTCATTAAGGAATTTGCGTAGTACTTACTTTTATTTTACCTGTATTTTTATACATTTGGTTTATTGGGTAATTTTCAGTTTAGCTTTGTCTACCTAATTTCGGTGGCAATTTTTATTATTTAAGTATTCGAGTATATTATGGTGAAATATTAAATAATAATTCAGTATACTCGATTATTAAATAGAACTTCATGCTAATATTCTACAATGTTTATATAATAAAAATTGCCACCGTTGCCACCGGAAAAAACTAACCTGAAAATTATCCTTTTACTTTCGGTTTAGTTGACTGTAATAAAAACCTGTTACCTACAACAACCTTGAACAGGTCAAATGGAAAAACAATCTATTAAAAATCAATTCACATATAGTGAAAGTTATAACTATGTGACGTGTGGTATTAAGATTTTATCATAACAAACATTAGATAATGACGCTTGTTCACGGACGTCAGAATGGATTTTATTTCATCATATTGCCTTCAACAATAACTAGAAGCTTATGTCATACTCATATGAAACAGCAAATTATGTCCAAAGTGAACCGCGTAGGGTACAAAGAGCCTAACAGCGACACCAGTGAAGAGCAGCAGACTGGAAATGGGCACCATTCTCGAGCGGCCAAGCGCGACCTCAAGCCGTTGCGTCATAGACAAATGTACAAAACAAAAGTTCCTCATTGCTATATTATAGTACTTTCATGATATTAACTAAATCAGTTAGATCATTTTTTACATTATGAAATAGAGAGATCAGGTGAATAATAAGATATCATTTAATAAATATTTTTGCAAAGAATTGCGAATAAAAATTCTGACTGGTAATTTCATGTACTTAACTAATTGAGGCGTCACTTAATATAATAAAATGTTTTATAAACATACAAATGTTTTATATATATATATATATATATATATATATATATATATACACATAGCACTATAACTTTTCCGAACTGGCCACTTACATAAACAATATTTAAAAAGTAGTTACAAAATTTGAAAATGGAACTCTTTGGCTATAGAATACTGTTTGTTTCATCTGACTGTCACTTGTTTTTACATTGTGTTGTGTGTCATTTTTGTTTTTTTTGTGAAATTACTCCACTAGTTTGTTATAAAATTTAATAGATATTTTCACACTGACCAACCTCACTAGACTAGTCAGACCATGACCACGGCAATAGGGCCTGGGAATTATCCCGGTACGTGTGAAAATACGTATTAAGTGGTTTAATCGTGTTTATTTCAGTTTTAAAATGTTATTACAATGCAACGCAAAAGTCTGTAAGTGTATTTCAATCAAATTACACAAATATTCCATTCAAATAAATTGTACACAAATTGTATTAGGGGTGTAACATTCTATTTATCAGGTGTCGCCACGACTAGACACTATTATATGGCTTCAATTCTAAGGTTGCCACTGAACTAAAGTTGCCCCAATGTTTTATTTATCAATTGTCAATTGTTGGGTAATACCATCCTTTAAAAATTTTGTTCAAAAGTTGGTTTGTCAAATTGATCGGACTAGTAAAATACAAAAAGACTTGTATCTTGTGAGGTAATGAATCCGAGTGAATTTATTTCCTAAATATAATCTCAGTACTAGAAAAACCGACCTTAAAAGTCATTCATTCCCTAGTTTGCCACCCTTAGAGGTAGAATAAGAAGAATTTTCTTGAAATTTTAATGGGGCTACTACTGAAGTACCCTCTTTCCAACAAAAAAGAATCATCAATATCGGTTTTCAAAAGTTATTGTGTAACATGTGTACATACAAAAAAACATACAGTTGAATTGAGAACCTCCTCCTTTTTTGAAGTCGGTTAAAAATACAAAAAAGACGAACATTTTCTATCAAGTCTCATGAAAATTAAGGAGCCCCACTTATGCATGAAAGTATGAGTCATCGCAAGCGACAACCATAAGGATTAGTAAAGAAAACACTGACCCGTTGGGTTACCAAAGAATTATGGCCTAAGTCGCTTGCATTACGTGTAAATGGTGTTACCCTTTACCAAGTTTCCAAGTTTTTAAAAGTGAAATGAATAGGTGACTTTTATCGCCTGTGTCTTACAAAAAAAAAAACCAAAATTACTTATTGAATTTTTTTTCTAATACATTTCAAGTTAGAACTAATTTTGGTCAATAAAGGTAAATTCATTTGTAGCTTTAAAAATATTCTAATTCAGTTTTTTTATACGCTTAGATATACTTTATTATAATCACATTTTATCACTAGGCTATACTATACTACCATTGATATTATCTGTATGTTATATTTTGATGTCTGAATCTAGAGCCGAGAAAAAATCTTTGGGTCGAATCATATCCGCATCCTCGAAGGTCTATTATATTCGCATTTGTAGAGGCATTAGTGGCTCGGTCGTCGACAACATAAAAATGTAATTACGGGCTCTTCATACTCTTCGTCTTATCTTCTTCATCTTATCGTCTTATCTTGTCTCTATCTGAGTATTCCATCTGAACTCATCCGAGTTGAATATGTTCTTTTTCCAGATTTAAAAAAAATATTTGGTGAAAGTTACTAGCACGCAAAAATATATTTAGAAGTAATTTTAATTTCTACAATATTTTCATTTAATGAGAACATTGAAAGGCGATAACTTACTAAGAAAAGGGTGCTTAAACTTTACCTTAAAATACAATGTACTAGTGTATTAATTTAGAGAGTTAAATAGGGAACTTATCTAGTAGGTACCTTGTCTGATGAAACAAAATACAACAATAGAACTTGCACTTAATTTTCGATATTAAAAACACTTGAGTTCGATTAAAGCGCAATACACGAAAGGTCCCTGCTAAGTGGGGACTCCAGGGCACTTAAATATAGATTTACCCTTTGGAGAGTATTTGATGGGGGAGGTGTGAGATCCATCATATCTCGATTGTGCCTCTCAATTATTCGCTCTCGGCTCTGATAACTTGATTCATTTTTCAAACTCTCTCCCCTATTTGATATAGATTTGTTAGTTTCAAGGAAAACGCTGTATTTTCGACAGATGGCGTCGTTGCTGTCTGATTATCATTTGTTTCTATGTGTATTGTAATTGAAAACAGCAAAGTTTGTTGCTTTAGAAATATTTAATCAAGTTCAGCAACAGATTGTATCCAGTTAACAAAAGATGTGACTCTTGTGTACGCTGATGGAAACTTTAATTCACATTCTTCAGTCCCAAATGATATTACACCAACCTAAAATATAAAAGTATTCACTTAAAGGATTACTCACACTTGCAAACAGTTCGAAAGCTAATAAAAATTGTAAAAAAAGGGATTTTTTTGTAACAACATAAACTTCAAGTCATTGTAACAAAAACAATACTAATTACTAAATAATACATAGATAGCGTCAAATATTTATAAATATACGAAACTAACGTTTCTTCAAGTTTACAATGTACTCGTATATATGTATAGGGATAGGTTTAAAAAAGGTGGAAGCTTTTTTACAGTTTTAAGGATCTCAACAGGTGTTACCAAAATATTTCGTTTTTCTCTAAAAACAACTAGTGGTCCTCCGGAGTCACCGTTGCAAGTGCCTTTGCCTTTTTTTCCACTAGTACAAATACTGGATCCAGTGATATACGGTCCGTACGAAGCTGAACAATCATTATTTGAGATGATTTCCACCTCAACTGAGTACAGGGATTGATTTGCACTAACGTTGTTTTCTATGAAAAGTAAAGTTAATAATATTATTGGAATTCTATAATACTTAATTAAAAAATATCACATCTTGTGAATTCAAAGACCAGACAGTAGGTTTTCTCAGTGCATATGAGAATGCAGCTTCACTTCAATCGCACTATACGTAAATCCAAAAGATCTGTTCACTGGTTAAAGGGCAACTTCATTTAAGATTTTGTACCTTATAGTTTTGTCATATCTGTCTGTAAATGTAATTTTTAGGGTGTCATCTCCACTTTCTCAATTTTTGAAGTACTTTCATTTCATTACCAACCATTTCAAAAATTACCTCCGTATTTATGTATATCTCCGAGTAGAAACATTCAAAATTCAATTATCAATTAAAAAATATAGTAAAAACGTCTGAAATAGCATAAGCTGATTTTACAAAATATTGACAAGTTCAAGTACATGTAAGATCTTATCATAGTCATGGCCGACAAGCTCATGGTTGTTTCTTCGAAGACACTTTCAATATTGGATTAGATTGATGCCTGTCGGCAGCGATGATGACTATTTCAGTGTAATATCATTTATTACGTACCGTCAGTAAGAAGACCGTACCCAGATGCAATTCCTATAAGACCTGAAAAGCTTTCAGCAGACTCTTCATTATAAGGAAGAGCAATAGGTTGAATTGTATCTGAAACATAGAAATGGCGTTATGACCGAAACAAACGGTAAACAAAACGGTATACCGCATATTTAGTACTATTCTTAATGTAAAAGTCGATTGTACGCGTTTTATAATTGAAATCATGCAATGTATTTGTAACAATCATATAGAATATAGTATAGAAGATAGGTAATGAGTACAGTTGATGATTTGAACAAGTCATGAGATAATAGGACTTGAGTAGACATGTGATGTTGGATATTACCGTATAGGAACTTAATTATACAGCCTGATTATTATTGTTAATTAATTGTACATCACGTTAATTATATGTTATCATTATTACTATAAGTAAATTTAACTGTGGTTTTAATATACAAATGTTTCGCTTAATCAGTATTGAATATAGGATTTGATTTATAAATAAAATAAGAACTGTGTAATATTGGTAAAATATTCAGTTCTGTAGTAGATTTTTGGTTTGAAAATACGAATAAACGAATAGTGCAATAAGTGGTGTTTCTCATTTGTACTAATCAGCAATCGGGATCTACGCACGACCCACAGGTAACATATATTTTTTTACGGCAGTGTTTTGTACCTTATATAATTTGTTTTTCTTTTTACATGTGTGTATGTAATGTGTCTATGTATATAGTTCGATTGAGGCACACCCTGATAATGCTGGGATCATTTTACATAAAAAAAAATTTGTTTGAAAAATCTAATATACGCGATTTAAATCCGGAAAAATAATTTCATTTCCTATGTGTAACAATCGCGAAAACCGAAAAACTCGAAATAAAAAAAGTCTCACTGAGTGTGCGGATGCACTGTGAGAGACAAGTTTGTCTTTATAACTATTTTACGGCTAATCTATCGATGTGTGTAATAATAATAATAATAACGCACACACTCAACATAGCCCCGCACTAGGAAACCCTATGTCGCGGGTGCCATGGACATACATATATGTGACAACCACAAATTACACTCAGACTCACGAGAGAAATAAATGTAGGCTATACAAATATTTCTCCCGGCCCGGGAATCGAACCTGGGACCTCTGCGTGGCAGTCCGGCATGGTAACCGTTCGGCCACGGAGGCAGTTAGTTTGTGTGTGTGATAACATTGTAGCTAAGGTCACCCCCCCTGACAATGCTAATGTCCATACAGATATACAATTAAATGTATAACACAAGTAAATATTGTTTCTTCTTTGTTATTTACAAGATTAATTTTTCTTTTTCATTTTTCTATCTTTTTTTCTTTCTATTCTTATTCTGTAATAAATTTGATAATAATTAATCATGTATAGGTATAATGTCAGCATAACCTGAGTGATTACTGTCAAATAATACATATCGCGCAATTTTAGACTAGTGTATTTTCATACCTCGTTGTATAAATGGATACTAATTGATTTTACGTACAAATAATGTGTTCTCTTGTTATATGACTACAATAACACTTTTAATTCCCTATTTTTACAGATTTTGCTAGTATAAATTACAATCCAAGCCTAATAAGTTACAAAATTATTTATATAAACTACTGCACGATTAAGAAGCATAATGCAGTTTGTATTACCTTGTGTTGAGTGATTAGCTTATATTTAATTACAACACCTCTATGAACAGTTGATGGCCGTTTCTTTTAATGCATTTTTCAGGAGGGGTGGACGAGCTTAACAGAGTTTTAAGTTCTCCTAAGCGAGCGCGCAGAGGGCGAAGCCGAGACAGATGCAGCTGTCAACGGCGCAGTCGAGACAAGCGAAGCAGATGCAAGCCTAGTCGCGGTCGGCCCAGTCGAGTCAACACAAGGGGTCGTAGTTTATTTTATTTATTTATTTATTTATTTATTTATAATTTATAATTTGTAGCATAACAGACAAGAAAGTAGTACTATAATACCGAGGGCTCATCGGGTTCCACCACCTTCACGACAGCCAAGGAGTACTCAGCGCGGTGGATCATAAGTCAAAATCTTCTGATATTATTAAACATTTAAGGAGTTCGTTCAAGTTATTCGTTCTGAGGGTGCATCTGAGAACAACGAGCGAATGAATGAATGTCGTATCAGAATTTGATCCTTCTATAAGAAATCAAACTACAGATATGTGGTTAGCTAATCAAAAAGAGATCTCTCGTCCAATCCAGTTCGGATGGGCAGCGTTCGGGAAACTACAAAAAATCTTTGCGGCCAAATTACCTCAATGTCTCAAGACGAAAGTCTTTGACCAGTGTGTGTTGCCAGTGATAACATATGGATCAGAAACGTGGTCCCTCACTAAGGGCCTCATAAGAAGGCTCAAGGTCACTCAGCGGGCAATGGAGAGAGCGATGCTCGGTATTTCCTTACGTGATAGAATCAGAAATGAGGAAATCCGTAGGAGAACTAAGGTAACCGACATAGCTCGAAGAATTGCTCAGCTGAAGTGGCAGTGGGCGGGGCACATAGCTAGGAGAACCGATGACCGTTGGGGCGGAAATGTTCTTCAATGGCGACCGCGCACTGGACGACCCTCAGTGGATAGGCCCCCCACCAGGTGGACCGACGATCTGGTGGAGATCGCGGGAAGCCGATGGATGCGGGCAGCGCAGGACCGATCGTCGTGGAGATCGTTGGGGGAGGCCTGTACCCAGCAGTGGGCGTCGTATGGCTGAATGATGAAGGTTAACGAATGTTCTTCAATCTACAATTGGATAGAAAGATAGACTATCCATTATGCATTGCCCAAATTAACAGGTCTAGCTGAGCGCTAGTATCAAGGGTTGCCTAGTTTGTTATTTTCTTGGACTGAGTGGCAGGATAAATTGAGAACTGCGTTTCCCAGGGACGAAAAATATGGAGTTTTCTTGGCTGAGATGCTCGAAAAACGCGTTAAATTTGGCGAATAGTTAGAGGAATACTTTTATAAAAAGATGGTTATGTTAAATAGATGTAAGATTGCAAGTACAAAAGCTGTCGACTGCAATCTTCTCGGTATAGACAATAGATCAGCGTAGAACTAGTGCGGAAGCAGTACAGTTCACTGATCCCGACAAATTGCTTCTTTTTCTGAGGAATGTTAAAATTAATAAACGTAGTGAAAGAGTTTCTAGACATATTGCGAGCATCAATAACAACAAACGTTCCTTTAAGTCCAACCAAAATGATTGTAATGGTATTGCCGAATGTATCAACGTGAATCGTTTTAAATGTTATAATTGCAGTGAAGACGGTCATCCTCATTTTAAATGCAAATTACCAATCAAGAAATGCGATTTTTGTTCTCGGGTTGGGCGCATTATGTATGATTGTCCTGTAAGAAAGGGAGCTGGTGGTACAAATGACAAGACAGTATTATGACTATTGTCAGATAACGATAAAGACCATAAGTATTTTAAAAACGCCATTTTGAGTGGTCATAGCTTGCTTTGTTTCATAGGTCAATGTACCTTGATAAAACTCTCGAAAGCACAAGAATTAATAGAGAGTTGGTCTATCAATAATTTACCAGTTTTGAGGGGGTTCGGAAACTCTATTGTCCAAGCTATAGGTACATGTGTTGAGAACTTGAAATAGATTCTGTGAAGGTTGAGGTAGATCTCATAATAGTACCTGACTATTGCTTGACGGTTCCTCTTTTGGTGGGATAATTATTTACGGGGCAGAAATCTATAGTTATGCACAAAACCTGCGATAACTTAGAAATTACTACAAGGTATAATTTTGAGCGCTCAGAAATTAGTACAATGTCATTATATGTGAAAGAAACTTCAAAGATCCAATCCCAACTGACTGAAGTTGAAGTATTTACAGACTTCAATTATAATGGGGATGTATATATAGACTATAGTCTACGACAGGTACTCCATGGGGAATATGAAATTTTATGTGGTATAATTAAGTTAACAGGTGGATTCAGTAAAGTTATAATTAGAAAACTGAGCGATAAAGATAAGAAGAAGAAAGTTAGGTTAATACTTGCCGTTACAACTTTAGAGTCCAAGGTGTACTATGTTGATGAAATAAGTAACGACTTTTCAACCAAAATTGGCCCTATTGAAAAAAAAGATGTAACTGTTGATATATGGTTGATACCGAAATAAGTAACGATAATTTCGATAGGTTGCTTGCATTGTTGAATTAATATAGAATTACATTTGCCTTCTCTGTGGACGAACTAGGGTGTTGCAATGAGACTGAAATGGAGGTTCCTCTTCACGATAACACCCCTGTAGTTTACCGCCCTTATCGTTTGTCTCACTCTGAGGGAGCAGTAGTTCGTGACATTCCTAAAGAACTTGAAGAGTCCGGCGTTGTAATGGAATCCTCCTCAGAGTATGCCTCGCCTATTCTCTTAGTTAGGAAAGAGACAGGGATTATCGTCCATGTAAAATGTTAGGGCTTATTTAACGCCCTAAAAACTATAAAAGAACAATATCCCCTGCCAAGAATTGATGATCAATTAGATTAGTTTAGCAGGTTATAAACATTACATTACATTGGACTTAACCTCAGGATACTACCAGATTCCTCTTGCAGAGCATTCAAACAGTTTGACTGCTTTTATAACTCCGGATAGCCACTGTGAATTCAATAGGATGCCGTTTGACCTTACCAACGCACCCGCTACTTTTCAGAAAACCATTAACCGTATATGGTGGCACTCGTTTGAAATACGCATTTCCATATATGGAAGTCATAATTATACCGTCAAAAGATGTAGATGACGGTTTTGTAAAACTAAATGAAATATTGAAGCTATTCCGCAGTAGTGGTTTAACATCCCAAGGAGCACACTTTAAATGTCTTAAAACTGTTATATCTATAAACAGTCTTAATATGGTATAGATTTAGATAATAGTTCTCTATAAATGGTTTTAGAAAAAAGAAGTTGTTCTTATAGACTTATTTCACTCAAGTCCAAATTTTAAAACCTTCTCAATACCAAACAACTTAATTAAGTGTAATCTCTCTTAAGATTTACTCTTATAGTCCTTATTTTAAGTTCATCTGTAGAACAACTGATTATTTTTAG